ATGCCTGATTCCGCACCAGAGGAATACAAGAAACTTGCCGAGCGGTGTTGTGATGCTGATCCTGATAAGCGTCCACGTGCATTTACACTTTATTGGGATATTGAAGAGCTTATTGATAAGGTGGACAATTCCGATGACAATACGTGGAATACTATCTATCATAATGATGTAAAACCCTTATCACGTCTCGAGAAGGAGAGTAAATATTCTAGTAGGCTTTTACCTACTAGAGATTTGCCTAAACCGACAAATAGCTACGATTTGGATTCAGCTGCAGGTATGAAGATAACAATTGGTTATGGATAAAGTCAATTTATAATATTAACATTGTCACTGCTTATGATTTAGTAACTCAAGCGCTCTTTGAATAAACTTGTAATTCGCGGTTTATTTACAGTTTATACGGTCTTACTCAACGGTTTACTCTTTCAATTGAATAAATTAAATACGATATGCTTCCATATATGTTATTATGGGTTGAGTTAAAAAGATACCGAAATAAAATCGTGCACGTTTACTGAATATGTAAGCAAATATAGAGAGTACATTATTTAAAGTTTATGAAACTGGTAATGAGTTCGATCCTGAATAAAGTGCGTAGCTACATTCGAACTCTGTTCGCTGGACGGTGAAGCTTCATTGTCAATTTCAGCACCGGCCGGATGATGCGTGATGTTTTCATAGTCCAAACAGTTGGCCAATGAATGGGGCAAGATTATCTTGCTCAACCTTTCACTGTGATTGCCTTCATTTGAACATTGGATAGTGGTATTTAAAACTTGATAGTCACTTGGTGACTAAAACCTTAGTTCATTCCACTGCATTTCCCTCGAAGATCACCACTCTTTTCATGATATTGTTGCAGTTGCATAGCCTTGACGCGCGTAACGATGCAAGTTTAACGGATATCCACAACACAAATAAAACTTGCCATACACAAGTGTGCCATCTATATGTGTGCCAAGAACTGCTCTGTCATCATATCAACCGTGCGAAATAACGTTTGCCATTCCCAACCTGTCTGAGCATATACTAGCTACAAGGTCAACCCGATAAACCGAAGTGTATATTCAGGGAATCATACGTTCGGATAAGCGGGCAAGTGCTCAAGCTGCCAGATAATATACAGTATATCATAAACACTACTTTCTATTTGCTTATAACATAAGCTTACTACACTAAACCTTAAAGTCAGAGATTAATTGACGTATTTTTTTTTAACTCATACAGCCAATGTCCGTTCTAGGAAAGTTATTAACAATTTTTATAGACAAATATAATTGGTCGAAATATGCGGTTATCGTTTGAATTATTTTTTTCGGTAGATTTTACTATGCCGTATGTTTGGATAGACGTGTCTTGTTGGTGGCCTTCTTGGTGACATGCAGGCGGCAGGCCGTTATCTAACAAACTATATCATGCAGTAATATTTAGTACTGTATATAAATGTAAATTACATATAACATGTGTATTTGGTTGTTTGGAAATAGAAAAAAACTCATCTTGCGGATATTATCTACACTGCCGGTAATGCTCCCTTCTACGATGTCATCTTTTTTAAAATGGTCAATTGATTATGATGTAAAGTCAGTGGTACTATTGAGGGGTATGTAGGTTTCTATGGTGATGTTGACTTCTTATTATATTGAGATCGTTTTAATATATATGAATCGCACAACAACTCATTATAAATTATATCGCGAGATTATAAGTATTATCATCATATCGAGCCCAATTTTATTATCACTGACTTGGTTCCGGGGGAAAGCATCATATTGGGCCAACTTCATCTTATCGGGTGATCATTATATCGAGAGTGACCGTGTATAACTCCTTTCTAATTACCATTTCTGATAGCGATCAATCGATTTATAGAGTTGATGTAATTGATATTACATATTAATGTTTTGTTTTGTTTTTCCCAGTTTTATAATAAATTCTATAACCCTTGTGCTACACTATTGTGATATTCAGTCACGTGAATATCAAGAAATGCATTTTATAACATCTTTCAGCAACATACTCAACAACAAAACGTAACAATGGGAGGACACGAAAGTAAGCCCAATCCTCTTTCTTTGTAGTTTTAAACTCAGCACCCGGTTGCTATCAATTCGGAATATTTGTCTCAACGCAAAATCTCTTTGCTCTGATGTTATATAACATGGGAACAGACTTAAGGGTCGACCCAGGTATTGAAAAATGGGCGACCATGCGAGGACGCACTATAGAATACTTTCGCATGACGCCCAAGAATTTCGCATTGGGTATCTTCACTTTAGGAATAATTCCAGCTGGGTTGTATTATTGCGGCGTAAAATACCAGGTGAGTACCAAGACAGTGTGGAGAGCAGAGTGTAAGATATTGTTATGGCAAACTACTATGATCTTTAATGACATTTTTGCAGGGAATGTGGGATATACAAGGACTTCGGGACGGTGAATCGCCACGAGTTAAAAAAGACGACATTAGCTAGTCCCCTTATAACAACAGACGGGATATTTTGTCTTCACAATCGATTGTGCAGTCAATCGGATAAAAATAAACCAGTTTCTTTTATCTAGTCTTTTTTTTTTACGAATCAGAAGCTTTTCGACATGAATGTTATCTCCTTCTCTCTCTAAAAACGCGCCTATCTCTATCTCGATCTCTGTCTCTGTCCCGGTCCCTATCTCTGTCTCTATCCCTGTCTCTATCCCTGTCTCTGTCCCTATCCCTGTCCCTGTCTCTATCACCATTATTTCTTTCCCTTCTAAATGCTCCTACGCCGGGCCCCCTATCTCTATCCCTCTCCCTCTCCCTATCCCGATCTCTATCCCTATCCCGATCTCTCTCCCTATCCCTATCCCGATCTCTCTCTCTATCTCTATCCCTATCTCTTCTTTCCCTTAACGCGTTTCCTCTCCTCTCGTTCGTGTTTCTTGTGAACTGAGGTCCATGGGATAAAGCAACATCAAGGAAATCTCCAATTACAAATCTCGCATCATCGAGAGTTGTATCTTCCTCGGTGGTGGATCGATTGTTCATTACCATCCCGAGGTCTTTGAATACGTAACGTCCGCGTACATTGTCTTGATAGACGAGTTTAAAAGATAAACGAGCAGCCATTCGTTGTGCTTCAGGGTTTATTTCTTTTAGTAGGTTGGCTAATTCCTTTAGTGTTGCGTCCTTCCTATAATATGGTTAGAGATTAAAGTTTAAAAGAGATTAAGGAAATCAATCAAATGGAGATATTGCATTGCGAGAATGAACCGAGGATCAATACCATGTATATATTTGGACTTCGTCCTCTGTCGGCTGACGTTCCGTTGAATAGTCTGTTATACTAAATCAAATAATTGAACATGATAGAGTAACACTGTCAAGCTATAGCGATTACTACAATGGACGCGCCGCAATTTTAACCAACCTGTGATGTCCGCCTTCTTTACAAAACATTCGTAATAGAAAAGGACATGTCTACAAATGACATAACATAGCCCATATAAGCTAGGAATCGCGTCATACTATTCACTATTGCAACTTCCCTTCTGGTCTGACGTACCTTCTCACGATCTACCACAACCTTTGCTTTACTGCCTTTTGCCTGTGTGTTGGTAATAGTGGCAGTTTCAGTCATTCTTTCTGTGCTTCTTCGTTATTTATATTATACAGTCGAATAAGGCGGTGAACGTCGTATGAAGCGACGGTTGTAAGTAGATCTATGTGATATTCGAGACAAGAAAATCTCAAAGGACTGAATAGCAAAGTAAAAAAACGGCTCTGCTACGGATGAACATTCTTTTGTGGTTGCACGAAAATGTTGGCATTTCTATTGGTTGGATGCAATCAAATATATAAGTCCATTAAAAAAAAAAGATACCCCCAATTTTATAATTGACAAGTCTCATTATGGCGAATAACTCTAGCTCCCCCACGTATGTTTTAGTTGTTTGCTCAATAGTTGGTCCGTTCCGTTTTTTGCAACTTGTAATGTAATACCTTTCCTCTTTCAGGCTCGCTCGAGCCCTATACAGGGGTGTTTTTAGACGAAATTCGATATTCTTGATTGGTATATTTGCGACAGCGTTTGCCTTTGAAATAACTTTCGACATTGCGTCCGACAGAATATTTGATCGGCTGAACCGGGGGGTAAGCCAACGATTAGTTTAGGCTGCTAATTGATTGTACGGGTAAACTTTTTCTAAAATCATATCTTTCTCTTATCATACAACAGAGACAATGGAAAGACATTAAAGACAAATACGCGAGCATGTAATGGATTATCTATCGTATGAAGTAGTTTATTCTGTGCATTCAGAAAAAGCTGGGTGTGAGTGTATTTGAATTTGATATTTCATCTGAAGGGGAAGATGAGCGTGTATACAAAGCGGTCGATTTTACTCTCTTCGATGAATTGATAATAACAATAATCTGAACAACGAATTCTTAACGTTAGAACAATTTCAATAATATTTAATTTATCTTTTCCGGTGCATTGATTCTAATACTATTACTTTCTATCCCGGTCTTGCGTGCTTTTGTTCTATATCCCTTTTACATTAATAATGTTGACATTACTGGCTCTCTGCTTACCCCATCAATTCTGTATCTCGTTATTAAATAGTCAAAACGTCATATATGCCGGTCGCAATTAACGGATCCACATCGACGTTGTTCATGAGTAATTGTCGGACAATCACAAATCACTGTTAGCTATATAAATATTATATGCAATTAAACAGTGAAGATTTGTGCCTTTAATCTGATGCCCAATTGTGATCCCTCTTCAAATAAACAGCATTTCCATGTGTGGTATAATGTACAAGGAAAACGAACTGATAAGTTATATTACATGAAAAGCTAATGTGCGAGAGAGAGAGCAATTTATTCAAGACGATGAAGTCTCCTAATTGGCCAAGTCAATCCCGGACTTGAAACGTCCAATGGTCGGAATTACAGGCCGTTCGAAGCCACCCAGAAATTGGTATGAACATAATGGATTCTAATAGGGTCAAACGTTTTTAAAAACGACGCAATGTACTGCTTTATTCAAACATAAGGTTTAGAAAAAAGCAAATAGTGAACCTATTATGTATTAGATTATACTATATACTTCAATTGCTAGTATAACAAGTTTATAGTCATTGCATTATTCTAACCGGATATTCATATTAACATTCTAGTTCCACTACTGACATCGGTTCTCCATAACCTTACGTACTCCCAATATCAACTTCCTCCCCACTTATAAAACATCTGATAACGTTCAAGTCATCGTCCAAAAATATTAAATCAGCGTCGGCACCGTAGCTTAGAGTTCCTTTTCTGTTTTCTATCCCTAGTAGTTCTGCTGGATGCTTAGTAGCTGCTTCAACAGCTTCCACAATCGAACAACCGGTAAACTTTTTGAAATTCCTAACACATTCACTGATGGAAACAACGGACCCTGCCAAACGACCGTTGTCGATTACCTCCACGCGGTAGTCATCGATTTTTCTTATTTTCGCAGTTCCTATTTTATATTCACCTGGCGGAAGTCCCATGGCACCGACTGCGTCAGTAACGAGGACCACGCCAGACGGATGGGCAGAGTAGGCTAGTTTCACAGAGTTCGGGTGGACGTGAATACCATCACATATTAAACCGTAATAGGGACGAGATAAGTGGGTAGTACTGAGAAGGCCAATTATTCCTGGATCTCGGTGATGAAACTTGGTGCAAAGTTGGAAGAAGAAAAAAAGATATATATTAGAAAGCAAAGAAGATTGCGATGCGTATATGGAAGCATCATTTTACCTGTTGCATTGCATTGAATAGATGAGTGATAAATCGGGCCTGTATAGGTCGCGAAAGTAAATATGTGTGCGAACGTATATATGTATCATGCATAAAACAAAAGGTAGAATCAAAATATACCCCGCTCTCTACTGCACGCTCGGCTTGTTCAACTAGCGCACATGAATGCCCTGTTCCATAACGGTTTAGTAAGTGGCGATTCCTTTACGAGTGATCAAAGTCTGCACAAAATATTTCACTCACCAATGCTAACGGTCATACCAAGTTCGATGAATTTCTTAAACAAATTCTGAATTCCTTCTAGTTCAGGAGCAACGGTTATTATCCTGATCGATGGGTTTTCCGTTTCCGTGATACCGTATACTCTCGCGATATCAGCAAATCCCTTTGGAGCATCGACCAAGAGCTCTTTGGGATGAGCTCCAGATTTGTCTTGACAGATGAATGGTCCTTCGACATGAGCACCTGTAATACAAAACGCAAGAAAATCATGGGCCTTACATTGTTCATATAATTCAAACAAAAAGCCTCAAAAGATATACCTAAGATCTCTGATCCATTATTTTTATTTCCTTTGCGTGGCTTAAGCAACGGCAATACCTACGGTATATTATAGCTCATTAATTATAATCACGATCATCGGCATTCCACAAGAAAGTTCAGCCTCTTCACCTTGTGATAAATCTCGGGCGACGAACTAACAATAGTCGGTGCGAAACTTGTACACCCAAACCTTAACAACTCCTTTGCTACTATGTCAATGTTTTCCCTCATTTTTTCTTCTCCTACCCAGTTTGAGAAATCAACACCGAACGCGCCATTAATCTGGACATCGATGTATCCAGGTGCTATGATCAGTCCTTGCGCATCAATTATTTTCGATGGTTTGCTACCCATTCTATAAAAATGGCTCTGTGCATCAACAATTTTCCCCGATTGGATAAATAACACGTCGTCATGAACAATCTGGCCGTCGCGTATTAGGCGACAGTTTTGTATTTTTGTAATAGAATCGGTCATTGTCTAAGTGGAGGTAGCGAGAGACGAAGGCACAATAATATATATAACCTTGGTGGGGCGTGACGATCTCGGAATTTCGGCACGCACGAATCGGGATATGAAAATCCAAATTAATAAGCGAAGACCGGATCTGTGTAGATTCTAACAGTTTGAGAAGGCCAAATCAAAATTATCATTTTATGAGTTGCTGATCAGCGATAACGCAAATATCTAAGACCCTATAGAAATGAATTTCTAATTTCGTGGGTCTCAAATTATGGGATATACAGTACAGTACCTTAATGGTGAGATGCTTTTCTGCTAATTATAATAGAATTCATTGTTTAATATTTTATCTAGTAATTAAGATTAACCTATTACATCTTGTCTTACCGAACGCTAAAGGTCAACTATTATTGATAGCACACTGGAGCCCGATCAATGTTTAGATCATATTTTCCATCAATCCCCAAGTAATACTCCATTCTTTAACCAGAACTCATTGGAGACCGTCAACTGGTAATAACGGTGTTTCTTCAGGCTTGGACAGATCTGGTTGTTGATAGTCCCTTTGGCTTTAGGACTTCCACTATCAAATAATGTAAGACCAGTGCTGTCTATGAGTCTTCTGTCTTCACGAGTAATAAAACGTTGAGCGACCGGCATTTCTTAATGCATCTTCACCATTGTTATTGTAAGAGGTAAGTAGCTTTCCTTTAATTCCCCTAACCGTTTTATGATCTGCACGTCTGCCAATAGTAATTTCATCTCTCTTTTCTCTTAATCCGAGAGATTGGGCATAATTACATGAGACGGAAGGTGCATTTCTTCAATCTTTATGCGAAGCGCATGGCTTGTGTTTAGATAAGATAAACGTGAATATAAATAAACACCATCCTTTAAATTGTTTGGTAAGTTGTAGTTCACACAATTTGGTTCACACGTACCAATCCCTCCACACAAATGTTGGCCATCATCTGCACAATACATTAGCCAGTGCCAACATAATTTATCTTTTTCTACCCCTATACTGTACGAATATTGTCCACTCGATTTTGGCCTTTTTCTGTAACTTCAAGAATATTAATATCGTCGATCCTATTTATGGATTTTCTTATACCGGAAGCTTCCCATTCAATATAATCTGTGGCTCCCTCATAGCTCTGCCAATAAAGGACCCACCAAATCAACGCGACGTAATTTAATCAATCCCTCACGAATTAATGGATTAACGTATAAACGACTTTGGGACTTTAATCGTGCATTTCTCAAGAGAGAATGGTTTACAATATACCATTCGGCTGCTCGGTCAAAAGGACCATCATTGTTGTAAATAATTTGACATTTTAAGAAGAGAAGCGATGAAGTAAAGTCAAAATTTAACGAATTAATCTTCAATCGAACGAAAGTCTTCAGAGGAAAGACGCGTACGAAACTATCATTATATAATCACTAATTCGTAATACGAGACACGATAAAATCAAATTCTACGAAATTTACCATCTTGTATAATGTCAAATACACAGTGAAACTCGATAAGTCGGACACTCGATAAGTCGGATTTGGCTTAAGTCGGACAAAACCACTCAGCCTTTATTTTTTATATTTAAAATTTACTCGATAAGTCAGACAACATATGTTAAGCTGTAAGTCGGACACCTTTCCAGCCAGATAGTAGTAAATGACTCGCTAAGTCGGATTCACGTGATTTGACAAAATTTTACCAATTTAGTAGCGGATTATCCAATCAGTCATTTAGCTTAAAAGTCATGTTACTCACCGATATCAAATAAAGTTGCTTTAGATACTTGGAACAGAATAATGACATAGAAGTAAATAGTCAATTTGTTTCAGGATTAAGAGATTTAAAATGGAAAAACAAGTTACTTCGTTAAAGCAAACTAGCATGGACATTTATTTAAATAAGCAATAGTAATAGCAAAGTTTTCATCTTTATACTAGTAGGTTTTGTTTTTTTTTGTGTTTCAGAATGTACTGATTTTGGATGTTAACATGCCAAACCACCCACGGGCGTTATAGGTGTTGAAATGTCGACCAACCAACCTGAAATTAGTAATACCGTTTCTGGTTCGTACTTTCGTATATGGCTATTTATACTCTTTTTATTATATTCTAATTTCTTGTATTTATGTTTGAAGAGCCTGATCTCGAAAAAAAGTTTGCTGAAAACCTAAGTTTGAAGGACTCATCTGACCTCAAGGATGAGAAACAAAGGAACATAGCCTCAGAAACTAAGTTCGAAGCGGATAGTATTATATCAGTTTTTCTCGGTGGCAGTATACAAGGTCAACCGAAGATGTCGGTTGTCGAGCCAATACTCGGGGGAGAGCGGAACGAATATTGACCTTGAGATTTAGCCTTTTTCCAACGAGATCCTTGATCACCTCTACCTCGGTAAATCCGCTATGACCTTTATGATGGGTTTAAACGCTCACGATTCTAGGTTCGATCTTGCGTACGCCTTCTCTGGATTTATAATTAATCTCGAGTAAATACGTCTATTTCTCTCTGTGGGATTAGATCGAAAGCCTATAGGTTGGGAAACTTTTCTAACAATTGCGCTAACTAAATTAATTATAAATCTTTATTGTCAAGGGAGGATAAAATCGAGGACAAGATCGATTTTATCAAGCACCGATCAAGAAAGCGTTTTCAAGCTTTATCGGCGCTCCACAATATAGATCAGAGAATACAAATATAAGTCGGATAATTATGTTTATTTGATTAATAATATTAAGGAATATAATATCAGATAAAGGGTCATCGCTTCGCAATATACCACTTGTATCTCGTTATAATTCACCAGGCTGACTGATATTATTTTAGATGACGACAACTGAATTTTTCGAAGCTCTCTCAAAAATGCCATTGGAGAGTTATTTTACTTTAATCCCTCTATTTATCCTCATCGTAACGTTGATATTTGGAGAAAACCTATTTATATACCTATTCATTGTCATCATATGCTTCGTTTTCTATATTTTCAAACAACAAATTGATATGGAACTCAAATTATTAAAAGAGAAACGAAAAAATGAATCTAATGAGATTTATAACAAAATAGATGATCTTACCGAAAAACTTTCTCTGTTTTATGAAGAGTTTCAACAAAAATCCTATGAAGGAGATACCCTAATTAATAATTCGAGTAATCTCTCAAGTAATCTTTCAAGTAATAATTCAGGCAATTTTTCAAGTAGTTCTCGAGGTAAGATTATTTCAACGTATAAATATCCCGCCTTCTCGCAGTAACTGCTCAAAGCCAGAAAAACAGACAACATATACTGATAACATACACCTTTTTTCCGAAAGGCAAAGAGGAAAAAAGGGGCTCAAGACGCACTTCGTTTTCAGATCCAGTTTTTCAGACCTTTTCGACGAGACCATGCGAGAAAACGATTATTCTAAAGCTGATATGTTTGCCAAAGTTGTAAGCGAACTTAGAAAGGAGAAGAAAATAAAGGTTATATCGAACAAAGCGGTGGAAAATTATTATAATCAAACAACGAAACCCGACGCCAGGACTATAGGAGCAATCAAAGTCGAATTTTACTTTATTCGAAATTTGAAGCGTCTGGACAAGTAATTAATTTGATCGATCAAACCCACAAATCCTTATTGTGATTTCAGAGGGCAAATGTCATGTTATTGTTAATAATCTGCAGAACAAAATTTCGGACTAGATGATTCGTACCATAGGCAATTCATTTTACGCGTCGTATCTCATTGTTATGGGTAAAAAAGAACTTTCAGCGTGGATACGTTCCGGCGTCGTAGAAAAAAATCTTAAAGAAACTTTTGACTCCACTTTGGACGCGCTATGTGATGCCTGTCCGTTGAGAAAGTCCCGCGAGTCTATATATAAATCACTTCACGACCTTTTATATAGCGATAAGACCTTTCGTCAAAGTTCTCTAGCACACATCACGATGTTCGGCTGGCTTGAAGATAAAAAATTATCGTCATCCTCTTCTTCCTCGTCTCAAAAACAGTCAAAGCCTTTTGCGGTTTTTAAAAAAACGCGGTTTCATTCATCTGCTGTTGGTCAACATGCAACCGTCACCAATAATCGCAAAGATAATACAACCGCTCGCGATTCTCCTCCATCAATTGAGCAATCATTTTCTTTTACCAAAAAGGAACAAGGAACGATTATAGAGCCTTTCATTAATCTTGCTGAGAGAGCAGTTTATGATTTCCTTGTCAACAACGAAGATATTATTCCTTTAGAAGTCGTTGAATCATTCGCGGATAAACAACGGCCTCCCATTAGCAAAGACTTCTGCAACGCTGATCTATTATGCATGTTAAATTTTATCCTGGAAAACATTACTATTTTCTCAAAAAAATCCGCGTTCCATGGCCAATATAAGGCCAACCCTGCCGAGTTACTAATTGACTTTAAAAAGAATGTGAGAAATAAATTGGCTCATGGAATTGTGGTTAGCGGAAAAGGTCGTTGGAGCGACCATGCACTCCAGCACGTCTCTATATTAGCTTGCGAAGTTATAATTTGCCTTGGTAAGTGACCATGAGAACATAACAATTTGATTTTACTTAAGAGTATAAACTGATTTTTTTATTTGGTGTTAGGTGGGAATTACGAAGAAGCATTCGCTAACAAGGAAGATAATGATAGCGAAATACAGTAACGTGCAAAAGTATCCTACCGCCTGTATCACATGAACATACATAATAACAACCTTAAATTTTCCTGAAAAAAAGTGTAACACAATGCGTGATCACACGCACTTTTATAAGTTTGTAAACCATTTTTAA